AAAGATGAATCTGATTCGAAGGAAAATGATTTGTACGTCGAAATGAGTCCGTTGGTACCTGTTGAAAATGTTAAGATTGTACATAATAATTTATCCGATACAATATCTTCTAATATTACGAACGTTAATTCAAATTCTGCAGATACGAAACGGTTAGATACCACATCGTATATTTCTACACAATTGGTGAAATCGAACTCCGATAATACGGAAAAATTGGAACCGATCTGCGATAAACTGCGTAAAAAGCCGATCAATTATCCAAAACGAAAATTTTCTTTATTAAAGGAGAAATTTGAATCCAAGTCGCAACTAGTTTATGTTGTTACTCCTAATAAGGCTATTAAAATTGGACAATCCGCTGCTTCTCCCGAAATCGAGACATCGAAAAAAAATGTTTCGGTAATTTTAAAAAAGTCGACCGATTATATAAAATACGATAAAGAGAATTTAGCCCCTATCGCATCGTTTAAAGTTTGTTACGAGAAAAATACTTCGAACGATAAATCTCATTCAAATCGAGAAAATATCGATCTTATTTACGAAAACGATAAATCTTTATGCAATAATGATTTAAATTTGAAAGAAAGAAGACATATCTTTTTAGAACAAGTTTTATCACCTCCAAAATTATTAACTTGGAATAAAAAAAAGTCTTTTAGTGGGTCTACTGTAAAAAAGATATAAAAAATATTTACATTACACAACAAAATAATATTTTTAATAAATTCGTAAATAAGATTATAATAATGATTTAATATTATTAATATACTTATTTGTTTATTAGGCCAAATGTTTTTGCAAGAGAGTGATACTTAATTTTATTTTCATATAGAATAATGTTATTTTTTTATATTTTTTACGTGATTAGTTTTTTAATTGACCAATAAGAAAAAGAGGAAATAGAAACAATGTATATAGTATAGTTTATAAAATAATCGAATTTATTATGAAATATATGGATGCATGTAGATATACATATATGTGGATTAAGTGATATAAAGAGAAAATTACTATTTTCATAAAAATGAAAGAAATTATTTGAGACAATTATTATGTGTATGTATGTATGTATGTATGTATGTATGTGTGCGTACATAGAGAGTGAGAGATTAAAACAGAAGTATTATATTTTCTATATATTTTATTAGGTATATAAACCAATTGTATCTTTGTCAAGTACAATATTACATTTTACAATATTGTAAATCTGCAATAATTATATATATGAAAATTATTTTTATATACAGCAATGTTATATATAATAAAAGATTTTTACATAGTGATATTTATTTTAAATGGCACCAAAGAACATTGCAACATTATTATTATTATATGTAAAAAAAAAATTGCAAATCAATATCAAAATGAATATTATAAGTGTTAGTTATTTAAAGAAGTATATACGCATAGCGATACATACGAAAAAATATGAAAAAAATAATATTATTTAAATGAAAAAAATAATATGATTATTGAAAAATCGTAAATATTATATGTCATATATTTTCTTATTCAAATGTCAAATATTTATTTCTAAACATAATTTAAAATCTGCCTTTATACTATAAAATATCTAATTTTATATATCTACCCTAATATTTGATTACTAATTTTTCAATTAAAATTTCCACACAAGTAATTACGTCATGCAACGTGTCATTAAATAAAATCAACACGAATTATATATAAATTTTTTTAATAGAATTGTTATTAATAATCTCTTGTTTAATAAATTGAAAGAAGATGAAAAGATGAAATTAAAAACCTAGTCAGTCTTTGGCATCAAAAATGATTTACATATTTTGACATTTCTATTACGTTGTGTGATATGTTCTATAATAATCGGCAGTTATGATAATATATTTTTGGAAGTACACGTGTATGTATTATCGACATACAATACTTATTTGAACACAATATCGTATAGAAGAGTTTTTAAAATAAATTTTTGATAATTAATTCATTAATGAGATTACACAATTAATTCAAAATGAGATAAAGATAATACTTAGAATACTTTCATCGACATATAAGGATTATATATGTTTATTGGATTATCTTGAAATTTATCGCAGTTTTTAAACTATTTATTTTGAAAAAATATGTTTTTTTTTTTTTTTTTAATAACTTCGAAACAAACTTAATCCTAAACCAGTTGTTATAAAATAATTTTTAGTAGTTCAAAAATGATTTAGAAATTACTTTAAATCTCAATAATAAAAAATTACAGGAACTTTTGGGATAATCCAATATTTTGATAATTGAAATTTCATTTTCAAATTAAAGTACTTTGTCCGTTATTTGTATTTTCATTATATCGTTTTATCCATTGAATGTGACAAATGAGCGGTAAACTGCGCAAATTATTGCATATACGCGTCCCAAGAGAAATTTTTCTTAATTCTTGAGCAATTTGATGTAAAGATTTGCCTTTTGTTTCAGGAATGAAAAGAAAGACGTAAAATATTGTAACGAGACACATGAAACTATAAAATAAATAGGACCCAGCTAATGTCAATGATTCTGAAAGAAGAATAATTATGTATGCATAATTAAATGAAAAATAATACACATATATATTTTTTTAAATATATAGAAGAAAAGAATAGAAGGAAACTTACTTGTCATAGCACTGACAGATTCTGTAGCAATAATATGAGTTATCCATATTACAATGGAAACAAAACTGATACATTTCCCTCGTACTGCTGCAGGAAAAACTTCTGTGAGATTTAAAAGTGGTACTGGTCCAAGTCCTAAAGCATATGCTGCTTCATATACGAGTAACGTTATTACTGCTAGAATACGCAAACTATCGGTTAAACCATCCGAAACAGCAATATTTTGTATCTACAATAAAATAGAAGTAATTTAATTGAATGCCATCAATGCTCAATGAATCTGAATAAATGAGAAAAATATACTTCGCAAGATGCTTTGATTTGTGTCCATGTTTCTGGACTAGGTGGTACAATAGCTAATGGAGTCGGTAGTAAGGGGAACGGCGGTGGTGATCCAGTAGGTAAAATGGTATGAATTTTAACTTCTTCATTACGATGATTCTTACAATGATTATTCATAACATCTAGATTGTCGTCTCCCCTATCTATCGTAGCAAGTAAAGATAGTAACGATATTGTAGTCATGCAGATAGTTGCCGATGTAATTAGAGCTGTTCGTCGACCACATCTTTCTACTATGATCAAAGATAACATTGTACTAAATACCTTCACGATAGCCAGCGATATTAAGGCTGTGACTTCTGCAACGTCTGTATAACGAATGAAGCAAAAAATATTTGTTCGAATTAAAAAAAAAGAGAAAGAGAAAGAGAGAGAGAGAGAGAGAGAGAATAAAAAAATAATGATCACAACACTTACTAGAACAAATACCTAATAATGCAAACAATCTTGGTGCGTAATATAAAACTTGCCGTTTGCCAGTACCTTGTTGAAATATCAGTAAAAAAGCCATAATCGTTAGAGTCTCAAAAATTGTGTACCAAGCTTTCTTTGACGATGTTTTCGAAACATTTGCCATTCTTTTATAAAGTAAAAACGGTGGAGATCGTTGAAGAAATATAATGGTTATTATACAAGCGGTCAAAGCAGGTACGGCTGTTATGCCGATGGAAAATCGCCATTGATAATCAATATTTTTGATCGCAGCGGCAATGACGGAAATCAAAAATCCAGTAGCTACGCCCAATTGATATAATATTATATTATATCCGCGTTTATTTAACTCGGATACTTCTGCCATATATATACAATGAGCTATGGCAGATACAGATCCAGAATATCCGCAAATCATTCGAGCGACAAGTAATAAAATATAATGATTTGCCAAAGCTGATAATAAAGCGCCAAAAGTTAGAAAAACTAACGTCAATATCATGGTCCAACGTCGACCGAATGAATCGATCAAAAAACCTATAAAGTATTATATCATTAATATTATTTATTTCATTCATTTTTATTTTTATTTTCAGAAATTTTTTTTGTACATACCACCGGTTAAACCACCAACAAGAGCTCCAACAAACCAAATACTTATAACAAAATCTTTTTCAAAACAATTCAAATTGAATTCATGTTTGATTAAAGGAGCTATAGGTTTTGCAATGCTCATATCACTTCCAAAAGCAATACCTGCTAAAATTGCTACCATGGAAACAAAAATATTTTTATTTCCAGATGTTAATGGTGTTAAATTATCATTCTCTTTTGGGAGTGGTTTTCTTAAATTTTTAGGAGGTAAACATTGATAATCATTTGGAACCTTATTTATAGATTTTTCAATAGTTTTATTCGCACTATTCAATAATATTGCAGTATCTTCTTCGTCTGACATTTTTCATCAATATAATTATAATAATTATATATATATCAAAATCACATTAAGAAGAATTATATCCTTATATCCTGCAACATGAACATTTTATAGAATATTTATAGACTAATGAATAAACGAAGAATTTTATATTAATTTCAAAATAAATTAATTATGATTAATATATTAGTATAATACATATGTATTGAAATGCTATTAATGACTTTTTCAAATATATAATTGATAAAAAAATTATTTCAGAATTTCATAATCATTCACACGTATTCATACGATTGAGAATATATTGAGAATATATTGTAAAATAATTTAAATACTATACACATGAAATAAAAGTATAAAAACCTCTATTGTTTACTTTCGTTGATTTGACATTTGTGGTTTGTAGATAACTGAGAATTGACAGTTGTCGTGACGTTTAGGTATGAAGCGCCATCTTACGAAATACTCGAAACAAACGAATTCAGCTATGCGCAAAAGCAAGGTACGGCTTTACTTTCCCTATCAGGGAAATCAGTGTATCTATTGGAGATACGAATAAGAAAAAGATAAATGGTAAATATTAAATAAGTATACATAGTTGAAGAAAAATTTTGATTTCTTTTTATTTTTAATTCTCAAGATATGCATATATAAAAAATTTGAAAAAATGGAAAATTAAAAAAATCGTTATATCTATGATACAATAAAGTTGTTTTTGAGCGATTCGAGTTCTCGAATTTTCTCGTGGATGTCGCTGTTTGTGTTCTTTTAGTGTGGCTCCGCCCTTGGCGTACATCGCGCGCCGTAGAAGCAATGCCAGTAGTTAGTTGTCTATTGGACTTGAATTGGTCAAGGTATGTTTCGGAAAATCGAGTTTTACTATTTCGTGATTCGCTACGTTCAGATGTTACCATTTACATTAGTTTATCAATGAATTATTTTATTATTCGTTGCATGCTGAGAACCTCTGATATTTCATTTAATTTATGCCAAGGCGGAGACGTGTGCTCCATAGATGTGTAATGTGGTTCAATTTGGAGATTTCCTTGTTCGCCGTTCAGGGATACATAGAGATCATTCGTGAAATCTACTTTCGGGGTAGTAGTGGGGTAAACGACTTATTAATAATCACGAGTATTGCGAAAACGATTTTACAGCGGGAGTGCCGGTGCATGAGTGTTTAGTGATCAATGAACTCCGCGTTGCTGTATATTGGGGCGTGCTGTCACTGATCTTATTAAACCGGCAGATGTATGTACGAAAGAATGCAACATTTCCTATTGTTTTATAATGTAACGTGATTGATCTTTTAAAGATCCCAGGCCCCGCCTTTTTCCGTTCGATTTAAGATGCTTCGTTCTTGGATCCATCAAGACGATTAAAAATGATTTTTTGATTTATTTATTTCTTTGAAATTTGATATTTTATATAAAAAATTTAATAATCTAATATGATCGATGAAGTTATATTACATAGTACTTATATATTTAAATTTTTAAGATCATTCATTGATCGACAAATCAACACTTGCAACCCTTTCAACCAATCTCTTAACGTATTCCATTAGCATCGTTCGATTAGTAGTATAATCGGTATAATCATAGTTTTGACGTAACATCGTTCAGTCTTTTTGTTAAAATAAAATAGTTTAATAGTGAATTGTCGGACGATAAATAGCAATTAGTAATTATGTAAACAAACGTAAGTATCTTTTTGTAAAAAAATATGAAAAAATATGAAAACATGAAAAAAAAGTTAGGCTAATTGCTTTTCATAATAAATTATAATCTTTGACTTTTAATGTTTGTGGATATACTTTTTTCGTCATAATGTCGTAATATTTTTTGTATTTTATAAAAAATTGTAGGTGATATATGTATAAGATTTTACGATGCTATTCAGGTATTATTTACTTTTAAATCAAAAAAATAGAAAAAAAATTTTAAATAATTTTTCTGTGAGGATGTTTTCTGGTTACTTAACCTTTTATACTATATATTGTTAACAATGATATGCAAATATAAAAGATTTATACAAAAGATTTTTCATATTTAATTCAATTTTTTTTCTTTGAAAAGAAAAATATATCAAAGTGTATTTAATATTTTGTTACAGATGACAATGTAATAGTGAATTAGGAATCAAGTTTTCCATAAGGAAATAATTTATAATAGATGGTCATTCTACAATTCTCAGTAGATGACTGAAAATGAACGATATAGAAAGTATAAGCATGAAAGGCAGTGGAGGATCTAAAATGCCTCATAGTCATTCAACTCCAGCAGGTGTAGATGGAGGTAGTAGAACTCCTCCTACGACACCTAGGAAAGCTGGTAAAATGCTTGCTGTTCGTGTACAGATGTTAGATGATACAATTACAATGTTTCAAGTTCAGGTAATTTTTACAATAGTTTTTTGTGATATATTAAAATTTGAAATATAAATTTAGAAACAAGAGTTAGTTAGAAATACTTTCATATTAAATTTACAATGAAGACATTTATATTCCATTGTTTCTTTTTTTTTATTAGAATATCATAAAATATATATTAAAATTTTTAAGAATAGAAAAAAAATTTTATTGTTTATGCATATATATATATGTATATGTATATGTACATATATATATATGTAAATCTACTTTTTTTACAATAAAAAATTATTCACTTTATACTGTTTATGCATATATGTATAAGACTTCTAAACGAATAATTGGAGCATATAATTGGAGGTTATACTATAATATGATGTATTGAAAAAAGTATTGATATATTGATTTTATAAAATGTTTAATAAAGTATTTAAAACAATCATTTTAGAAATAATATAAGATAAATTGAGCACTTTTTATAATAAAGAGAAATTAGATTTCACTATTCTGAATTTATTTAAATTTTAGGCAAAAGCTTTAGGAAGAGTATTATTCGATCAAGTTTGTAAGCAGTTACATCTTTTGGAAGCTGATTATTTTGGTTTGGAATATCAAGAACTTAATGGAACAAAAGTAAGAAGTTAAAAAATATATTGATAAATACTTATGATTTTATATACTTACCAATGATATTTTAATTACAGTATTGGTTAGATTTAGAGAAACCAGTTTGTAGACAAGTTGGATTATCTTTGATAGATCCGTTATTAAGATTTTGCGTTAAATTTTATACACCTGATCCAGCGCAATTAGAAGAAGAATTTACAAGATATTTATTTTGTCTTCAAATTAAAAGGGATTTAGCTCAAGCTTTGTTACAATGCAACGATAATACAGCAGCTTTAATGGCGAGTTATATCGTCCAGGGTAAATAACAATTCATTAATATTATGATAAAAATAAAAAGTGGAATAGTATTAGGACAAATGATTAATTATTTTAGCTGAATGCGGCGATTATGTGATAGAGGATTATCCAGATCATACATATTTATCAACTTACAAATTTGTGCCTCATCAAGATCAAGAACTAGAACGTCGTATTATGGAAAATCATAAAAAACACGCGTAAGATTTTCTTTTTATTATTCCTTAAATATGTAATTTGTATGAATGGTTTGAAAATATGGTCATTTTGTCAAACAGAGGTCAATCACCAGCAGAAGCGGATCTTAATCTGCTAGAAACAGCACGTCGTTGTGAATTGTACGGAATGAAAATGCATCCGGCTAAAGTAAGTAAAATATAACTTGTTTATTGTTTTTTAATAGATGGATAGATATAGAATCATTGTATTTCATTTATTATCAAAGGATCACGAGGGTGCATCGCTCAATTTGGCAGTGGCACATATGGGAATAGTAGTTTTTCAAAATTTCACTAAGATAAATACATTCAGTTGGGCTAAGATCAGAAAAATCAGTTTTAAAAGAAAACGATTTTTAATTAAACTTCATTCAGAGGGTTACGTAAGTAGATATTGTATTTAAATATCGTTGAAATTAGAAAGAATCGAATTTGAAAATTGATCGTTTTCCATTTGATGATTGTAGGGTTATTACAAAGATACCGTGGAATTTTTTTTCGAAGGGCGCAACGAGTGTAAAAATTTTTGGAAAAAATGTGTAGAAAATCATGGATTTTTCCGTTGTTCAGTGGTGAAACGAGTGGTACGACAAAAAACGCGTGTTCTCAGCCGTGGCTCATCATTCAGGTATGTGAATTTATGGTGTAAAAAATGTTATATTTTTTTTTTTGTTTCTAATAAACGCAATATTATTAATATTAATTTAACGCAATTTCTCGATATTATTTCTCGATTATTAGGTATAGCGGAAAAACTCAGAAACAAATAGTGGAATTTGTACGGGATAATTACGTGAAGAGGCAAACGTTTCAAAGGTAAGTTCGATCATTGACGTAAAATGTCGTTTTACGATTGGACAAACTATTAATGATATCAAACTAGTAATGTGTAGATAGTGCATGCGTATAGTTATGTACTGTTCCTCCCTTAACGCTGGTTTTATATCATTGAGATACGTTATTATATTTTAATTAATAAACGCACTGATCTTGCGTGGTTAAGACGGGAGGTGGCACGGTCTTGCTTTTGCCGGGACATTAATTGGTATTTATCACGTCTATCGTTGTTTATGTCAATTTTAATAAGTAGAAAGAAGTATTTAACTCTGTTCATTTTGTACTTCCGTGTGTCAGTGTTGCCTGCTCGGACAGGGGTGGCGGGGAGTCAGGCTCACCATCAGGCACGATAACCCGAATGATCAATGTACCCTCTCTTTGATAGTGTGGTCACTAATTCTCGTCGTTGTAACGTAACACCTAATGATACGTACACTGCAAAAGTTACCATATTTCACTCTGTCCCAATTGAATCTTTTTATCAAATCAAATATTTATCCAAGTAGACTATTCTACGATATAGAGAATAGAGATTATCTTTCTTTATAATAATTTTATCCTTGTACATATAATTATATAATATAGGTGTACACGATTCTTTATCACGCAATATCGATGTTCAATTTACCAAACAATACCGTATTAGAGCGAAAAGCATCGTGTACTCATCGATAAATACGCGTCACCGTTTGTGTATGCACATTCTTATCAAAGATCTCGATGTATGCAAAAAATTGAGCATGCAAAAGTAACGAATATTCGTGCGCAAATCATTTATGCGTTATGTTACTCTAACGAGTTATTTCGATTATCAAAAATTAGATAATATATATAGTTTGAAATACGTATCGTACGTATCGGATTGGTTGAGCGGTAACGGTCGTAACGATAATTTTAATAAAAAGTTCAATAATTATCTCGACTTTTTTTTTTTCAATTTTTCTCTCTCGTACTATGTTATTTTTTACCTTATCGTAGCTGATCTCGAAAAAAGGTCATGAATCTATTAAAATAATATATATTTTGCGATTTTGAAATAAACTTGAAAGAACTAATTTTAAACGCAATTCTTGTAAAAAATAATTTAGATATTTGTTTCAATTTTAATTTCAATTGCAATTACGATGCCACCATTAAAGATGGTTAAGATAACTTTAAATTTTTAAAGTTAACCAGCAGCTATTCGCGTCATAAATTATCCAAAGAATCATAGCGATTATATTATAAAACAATTTCCTTTTACAAGTATTTTGTAAAATCGATTATTCGACAATAAGAAAAAATTTTTTAGGGAATATATAGCGTAAGATGATATCTTATTTATTCTATAGGATTTTGTACGATTTTTTATCATTTCGAGAACGTAACTTGTGATCGCGGACGCGATAAGTGACACACATTGAGAATAGCAAAGGAATATTTACGAAATATTAAAAGGGACATAAATAGATAGATAGATAGATAGATAGATAGATAGATAGATAGATAGATAGATAAATAGATGGATGGATAGAGAAATAGAAAGAGAGAGAGAGAGAGAATGAGTGAAGAGAAGAAAGAAGAAAATAAAGTTGCGACCGAGTTAATCGAATGAAAGTTAACGAGAAGAAAAGATATTATGTTACGAAAGATAATAATAATAAGAAGTCAGAAAAACATGCGAAAAAACATTAGTTAGTTCTGAACAGGCTTGGCAATTTGGTAGCCTAAGTCTGATGCTGAACTTGACTCTCTCTTGCTCGCAGGTCCAATTCGTTCCGGCAGACTAGCGGTGGTAGGGCATTGCAGGGCTTGGAGGGGGGAGGCTATCGTGGGGCCACTCCAAGCAGCTCCCTTATGGGCAGCTCCAGCATCTCTGCCCACCCCCTCCTGCCCCTCGGC